AAAGTCTACTGTCAAGAACTTCTCCAGAGTGCTAAGGAGCAATGATGTCAGTTAAAAGACTAGGGCGATCTTTTGCAACCACTTGCTATGCATCTGAGAGTTGCACAGTGAATAAAGATGACATACTAATCAGGTTTGAGCATATCAGATTGTGAAGTGGCACAAGATAAAGGTCAAGGTTCATATCTGTTGTTAATAGGTTCTCTGTGAATGTAGTTGACTCAGAGGTAACTAACAACAAAAACAGCGAATCACACAGGAGATTGCCCATTTGTCTGCTGTGGATTCAAACCACCTGTCTTTGGGTTGATAGCCCAGTACCTTACCTGGCCACCTACAGGATTGTGATCTCCAAGTTTTGAAAATATGAGTAGTTGACAGAATCTCCAAAGTAACCAAAGGTTATGAACAACAACAAAAGATATAAAATTTGGAAGAGATAAAGTAATACCTCTTCTATAAGGAAGTTAATGATTGTCCTGACTTGTGACACCAGCTCTGCTTATAATCACACAGGGCAGCATAGTTGATGTGCTTAGGAAAGTAAAGTGCAGTGTGGAAAGCCTTCAAGTGTATGCATTGCTGCTGAACAACCTTTACATTGCCCTGCCTTTGCAGTTCTTGCTAGGTAAGAGAATAAATAGGCTTGAGTGTATCAGAGATTGTGAGAATGGCATAGGATAGGACAAGGTTCACTGAGTCACTCTCAGTCATACTTCAATTGATGGTACCTAACAGCAACCTTAAGGAGTAATCAAGGGTCCTGGAGCTGAATTTTAAGAGCTTACTAAATGTAATGTTTCCTCTCTACTCCCATTTGCTCAGTCACTTGTAAGTAAGGAATCAGTTTGGTTGGGGTTTGAGGAACTCAAGTGTTGTTAAATTGTCACTCACCTGAATCACGCAGAAATTGTTAAGAGATGACACATAAACAGAGCAGCTATTGGACCACGTGAGAAGTAGAAAAAGGTTAATCTCTGGGCAGAAACATTCACCGGTCAAGGCACATTCTTGGTGTGGATTATGGGCTGGACTGTTGTGAGTAACACTTATCTATCTACACAGTATGAGTAAGGCTTGGGGGGGGTAGAACTGAGTCTGCATTGAAGTATACTCTTGAAGAGGCTACAGGGAAGAACGATGGAAAAGAGCAAAACACTGTGTTTGCTTCCAGTGACCAGGTCTTTGGAAAAGCAATCCTTCAATTCATTGTGAGAGCAAAGCAGGCCCCAGGCCCAGGGCAGCCCCTGTGTGTAATTACAGGCGTATTTCCTGCTGATGAACTTTAATGATGACTCAGAATGCTGCACTACCGTAACTGACTATCCACTCTGTCCTGTAAAATGCTCTGTATTCTTACAATTGAGTTTATAATTTAAATTACTACTAAATTCTTGATCCAGTGTGACACATACGCTGGGATCTGCATTTTCTCATGGGGTAAATTGTACAAAAATGGACTCCCGAGTTCCAAGGCAGGGTTTGGGGTTTCATGGAGCCTCTGTTCCCTCAAATGGGGCTCTGGTGGCCTACTCTTTTATTATTTTTTTCCACTTTTCCATTTATTTCCATTAATTTTTCTGAGATTTATTCATCCATGAAATTTGCTCTTTTTCTGTGAGTAAAAAATACATTTTAGCCAGTCAACCAATTTGTGGTAGCCTACTTTCCTAAATTTGACTGTTAAATGTTGATGTGACCATCAATAAGGTTTTTTTTGGAGGGGGGGTAATTTTATTTTTTTAATTTTAATGAACATTTACAGAGATTTTGGATTTCCTTTCATTCATTGTTGCATTTTTCTCCCTGGCCCCCTCCCCAGTTTGCTCCTCTCTGAAAAGTAAAAGAACAATTCTTTTATTGGTATACAATCCCCCCCACTGCCCTGAGTACACTTCACTATGCAACCTTAATTCTGGACTTTTTTGTTGTTGTTGTTGTTTTTAAAATTCTGGACTCTTGTGATAGTTTTGTTGTCATCCCAAAGGTGGTGGTGGTGGTTGTTAAGTGCCGTCAAGTCGTAAGTGATTCATAGCGACCCTATGAACGGAAGTCCTCGACACTTGTGTGACTTTCATCCTTTCTCCAGGTTCATAGGGTTTACAGAGGCAAGCTATTATGGAAGTGGATGTCACTCCTGCTTCTGAGCTTGTTTTAATCGGGGAGCTCCACCAAACACTGTTCACCATGGGTAACCATTATTGCATTTGACACGTCAGTGTCACATGTTAAGCTTCACAGCAACCACAGGTTACCTCTGTACAGCAAGGGACACACCGGCGTTATACGACCTAGAAAAATGTTTGAACAAAAACAATGAAAAAAGGCCTGAGTGCCACGGATTAAAAGTCACCCACTTCTGGCTTGGTAGCATCAATTTCTGTCCACTATGCCAACTGATCTCTCTCTATGGTGATGTTATTGTTAAGTGCTGTCAAGTCGTAGGCAACTCATAGCGACCCTATGAACATGGTTCAAATCCATCAGCTGATTCATGGGGGATAGAGGGACAATCTCCTCCCAAGGAGATTTACAGCTTCTGAAAACCTCCTGGAGGGTCAGCTGGGAATTGGTTCTAACTTAAAAGCAACAGAGAAATTCCCTTACTGCTAATTTTTTTACATTGTTATAAACTTCATTTATCATGTGAATGCTCTACCTTTTTCACTTTAGGATAAAAAATTCTGACTTTTGTAGCATTTTTTACTTTCTCAGCAAGTGGGCAAGCTTGCAGTGGATAGTGGAAGCAGAGTTATAGAGAAGGGTGCTCTGTGTCAGTTGTTTTCAAAGGACATTTTGGAGGAAGCAGCTTGACTCTGCAGTCCATGGAGTGGCTATGGTATTGGGGGATGGGGACAGAAGGTAATTTATGTTAGAATATTTTCTCAGCATATATGTAGTGTTAAAATGAATCATAGGAAGGAATTCTTCCCATCCCATTTTTTTCTCCGAAATGGAACTGAAAATGAGGAGGACTTGAGGCTCCTGCTGCAGAAGTTCATAGACAACAACCTTCAATATGTATTGCATCTCAATGTCAAGAAAACAGAAATCCTCACCATTGAACCAACAGGCAATATATCCTGATAGTTGGAGAAAAGATTGAAACTGTCAACAACTTTATCTTAACTTAGATCTATGGGAGAAAATATTGAAACTGTCAACTTTATGTTAACTTAGATCCACAGTCCACTTGGTACAAGCAGTCAGGAGATTAAGAGACTTCTTGCACTGGGAAAGTCTGTAGTCAGGGACCTCTCCACATTATTGAGGAACAGTCATGTCAGTTTGAAGACTAAGGTGCACCTGATTCGTACTAGTTACTTGCTGTGTGTATGAGAGCTGGACATTGAATAAGGAGGACAGAAGAAGAATTGATGCCTTTGAGCTGTGCTGTTGGAGAATAATACTGAATAGGCCAGGGACTAACAAAAGAACAGATATGTTTTGAAGAAACTACAGCCTGAGTCCTCCTTGGAGGCAAAGATGATAAAGCTTCGTCTCACATACTTGGAGCGTGTTGCTAGGAGAGGTTATTCCTTGGAGTAAGACATCATGCCTCGAAGGTAGAGGGATGGTGAAGGAAAGAAAGACCCTCCACTGGGTAGAGTGACAAAGTGATTGCAACAGTGGGTTCAAGTGTGTCAGAGATTGTGAGGATGACACAGGATAGGACAGGATTCAGATCTGTTGTTCACAGGATCCCTATGAATTATACTCGACTTGACAGCACCTAACAACAACAAATGGAATTAAGAAGTAAGAGGAAGTAAGATTAAATATGTTCTAGGATTCTGTGAAGGGAGCCCTGGTAGCATAGTGACTTGACCAAAATATTAATGGTTTGAACCCACCAAATGCTTGGAGGGATAAAGTTGAGGCAACCTCTCCTTGTTACATTTTGCAGCCCAAGAAACCTGAGCAGGTTGCTTCACTCTCTCCTATTGGACCCTTATAAGTTGAAATCAACTATGTGGCAATGATAGTGGTTTTATTTGGTGAGTGTAATTCTGTGTTACTTTTCTCACATATCTTTTCTGTTTAGGATACTGGAAGAAGACATGGCTAATGATCTTTCACCAGGTTTCTACATAGAGGAACTTAATAAATACCGTCAGAAACATAATGCAAAAATTAAGTTTGTTGAAATATCTAACACTGGACCTCCACATGACTTAAGGTAAACTAATTTTCAAAAAAATCTGCCTCTATAAAATACAGACGAGGAGAAGGGTAACTGGCATAATTTTAAAGTTGATACTTTAACTCACAGCATAAAGTCACCTCAAAGAATGGGAGAGGATAAAAGAGAATAAAAGCCCTCCCATCCTTTTACTGTTTGGGTATTGATACTTTAACGGTTGGCATAAAGTGATAACTTCAGAAGATTAATGTTGTTGTGTACTGTTGAGTCAGAACTTACCCATAACTGACCCTCCAGCAAGTTTTTAGAGGCAATAAATCACATGGCAGGAGATTCACCAGCTTTCTTCTGGGGAGCATCTGTTGGATTCGAACTGCGTACAAATGCGTTTGAACAGAGATATGTTGGCCTAGTGGTATGAAGCTGTGCTGCAACCCTGAAGGTGCACAGTTCAAACCCGCCAGCTGCTTTGTGGGAGAAGGATGGGTAGTTTCCTCCTGTGTGATTAACTGCCTTTGAAAACCTGCAGGAGGGTTAGCTGTGGCTTGGTTCAAACTCCACAGCACACAACACCAACCTCCTTTGCTTCAGCAGCACAGTTCCTTACCACCAGGCCACCAGAGTTCAACTTCAAAGAATGTTGTTGTTGTTTTTGTTGTTATATGCCATCGATTGCTTGTGACTCATAGTGACCCTATGTACAACAGCCCTAAACTCTGCTCTGTCCTGTGCCAATCTCACTGTCTCCAACACACCCATCCTGATTACCCCAGTCACTGAATCAATCCATCTCATAAAGGGCCTTCTCCTCATGTGCTGTCCCTCCA